GAGAGAGAGAGAGAGAGAGAGAGAGAGAGAGAGAGAGAGAGAGAGAGAGAGAGAGAGAGAGAGAGGGCGTCGTCATCTAATTATTGGAGCAAATGACTTAATAAACGAGATTCCCCAATGTCAAAAGAATGGAATAAAAGAAGAAATGATGACGTAGCCATATGGCAGCAAGTTTGGCAGCAAAAATTTTGTCCGTTCGAAGTTTCCTTTGCAAAAATAGAGGTTTCGTTGCAACTTTACCGGCAAAAATAAAAATGTCGCGTTTTGCCATTTTTGCAATTAACCCTTGAATGATTCATGGCCACTGTTTTCTATTTTTCCCTTTTTTTTTCGTGGGAATGTGCGATGTACCCCCAAAAGAGGAGAGCCCTTAAAGATTTGGGTCGAGAGGAATGTCCTTTTGGCCCGAATTCCTTGTGATGATGCCCTTGTCAGGCCAGTTGTCAACTTTGCAATCTGAACCTTTTGGCCCGCTGAGGCCTCCGCCTGCAGACTTTCTTACGCCGCCTACCGCGGCCGCAACTTTGCAACATACCCAGCATGGCAATCTGCCTCCCAAATTCATACATGCGAACCCGTTCACGCAAACACACAAACATGCCTGCAACTCTCTCTCTCTCTCTCTCTCTCTCTCTCTCTCTCTCTCTCTCTCTCTCTCTCACATACACACACACACACACACACACACATGCGCGCATGCATGCACGCGCGCACGCACGCACACATGACGGCGACTCTCTCTCTCTTTCACACACATACAAAAGAGCGCCCACATACGCATTTGGGCTTGTATCTTTTCGCGAATTCGCTAGGACCCCTACAGTTCCTCTCAAATGGCTGCACCCAGCGGCCCAGCAGGCCTCTGACATATACTACATGGTTTGCAATTTTGCTGGGGGCCGGGGCCTTGTGTGACTGCAATAGAGTAGCAGATTTCATGACTTTGCGAAAAAGACCCCTATTGCGCGTATGCCCTAACTCTAGACAACCCGACTCTAGAAATAAACCACAAGAACTTTTCTTGCAGTAGAGTCCCATTAAAGAGTTATAATTGCACTGTGGGGCAAGATAAAGTTTGCAATTGCGCTTCAGGCACCCTACCTGGCCAGAAAGCTGGGTTGTATACATTGCCCGAACTGCAATTTGAAACTGTATCTTGGCCCATAATACAATTACAGCTCATTTTTGTGACTCCTGCGTAGTTTCCCCTTTTCTTTTTGTTTTCTTTTTTCAGTAACAGAGAAGAGACAAGCTTTGTGTTGTCACGGTAGAGGTGGTTGTCGCCCCAGACACCAGGCCCTACTCTTGATTCTCAGCGCGGCATCAAGGGTACAGGCGACCACACTTGAAAAACCCACCGTCACAGGCAGGTACTCTAGAGCGCGAATCTGAGCGATCTAGATTCTAGAGTGTGCAACCATGGGTTAGTCTGACAGCTCTAGCAAACGATTTTCTAGGGATCTGTTCTAGAGCTAGTGAAGCCACAACTCTTGAAGAAAATTTGCAGCACAGATTTCTAGAGTAGAGGTGCCGTACTCAAGATTTTTCTTGAGTTTTCAGTAGTGGAGCGAGACCCATTGGAACCACATGACGTACATTTCCTTAAAATTGACATGTTTTACTAATTTCATGAAATTGGCCGTCCAAAAATAAAATCAGTATTTTTTAGCATTTTTTAGCATTTTTTGACCCCACAACATAAGACAATTGATGATCTGGAGTCTTTTTTTTTCTTTTTTCTTTTTTTTTAAAGCGAAACATCTGTGGCAACCTGCTATTGGAGGTGATACAATCATCCTCCAATAGCAAGCCCCAGTTTATAGATGTCTCCAATCTATTGGTGGGGAGCATCACCTGCTGGAAACCGGGTCCAGCGTCCCACTGACAAGATTGAAGATGATATACCTGGCGGAGCAGCATTGATTGACCTCTCTCGAGGGGATTGACTGTCCGCCCAATTATCAGCCAGGTCACAGCATATATGAAATCTAGCCATGGGGAGGGTGGCAAACTCTCCTCTGATCATCCTAATTTCTCACAGTCATAACCGTGCAAAGCAAACCCTTGGCCCCCTCCGTGCATAAGGCCGCTGCCCAGCTCCATGATTCACATTTTCCTCCAGCGGAGGACGACTGCCTACCCTCCCTTATCGTAAGCTATTCACCCAGCGAAGATCAGTCCCACAAGATTGTTTATTTCATTCTTGTTATTTTTAGTATTATCACACATCTGCCGTGCATACTCTTCCCACTGCCATTTCGCCAACCAGAGTTCTTGCCATCCCTTATTAATTGTCCTATCTCCTGCCCCTATCCCTCACCCAGCCTCTCACTCCTCTCCATCGTGCCCCCTACCAGGAAGGGGGCAGGGGGAAACCCTAGGGTTGAAAAAAAAGGACGGCGGCAGGTGATATTTACGCAGGAGTAAAACAATCAAAACACATGCCAAACCCATCAAATCCAACCCCCCCCGTGGTCAACTACCTGAGCCACCCCCATGATTGTATGACGCCGCAGCTCATTAGTATTACCCTCTGGGGGGGGATGGCATACCCCTACGATTTCAAAAAGGCCCTGTCGCCGCGATTGCTCGGTAACTCATCACACATGATATCATTGCCCGCATCAGCCTGCAGGGTAGATGATGAATCAATTGTAAGAAAAACTTTCAAAACAAGGGGGAAACCGCATCACCTACCTCAGTCGAAGCACCGTTGTCAAACAATGATGACGATGCCTTTTGACCTTTCACGGGCTGTTGGTAAGACTGTGAAACAGCTAGGTAGAAACCTTCAGGAGCAAGCGCCCGGATCGCCGCTCCCACGTCCGTCAAATC